CTGGGAGCCAGGACTCCTGGGTTCTCTCCCCAGCTCGGGGGGTGTTCAGGGGTTCACCCCGAGGTCCCCGTCTCTCGACAGGGCTCGATAGGCTGTTGACCCTGGAGCTGGAAGGAAACGACCTGCATGACGGGAACGTGATCCCAACGTCCTTCACAGCCTTGCGCAGCCTCATGTACCTGCGGCTGGATCGGAACCGGTTCCGGGCCATCCCCTCGGGCCTGCCCCCTTCCCTGCAGGTCAGCCTGGGAGCCCAGGGCCACGGCCCTCCGCCCCATCCCGGGTCTCCATGTGGCAGCCGTCAAGTGCTGGGGGGCTCTCTGGGGCAGAGTTAAAGTGAAGGTGTCTGAGTGACTATGGGGCAGTGTCACGATGACAGGATGGGGTCTCTCTGGGGTGGATTTAAGGTACTGTGGGCCTCTGTGGGACAGAGTTAAGGTGAAGCTGCAGGGGTTTTCTGAGGGGCAGAGTCAATGTGAAGGTGCTGGGAGTTTCTGGCGGGCAGAGTTTGTGAGGAAGTAGAACTGTTCTTAATGTTTCCTCTGAATACTATGTGGGTGCCTCAGTTTCCCCTATGCATTTCTTAAGTCTCTAGGTGGTGCGGAAAGGCCAGTGTCCATAAATCACTGACACTCTGTCTCCCTGGCAACAAATGGCCAGGCTCCTTCCCCCCCTGCAAGGAAATAGCTAAAGGTGAACAAAGAGATCAGGTGACCTCCTGGCTCAGGAAAGAGACAAAGCCAAGAGAAGGAGGGGCTAGAGGGGGTTTGGGAGTTGGAGCTACCTGGGGACTAGGAGGGAGGGCAGACGGGGGTGTCTGGCTCTCTGAACCCCAGAATGGACCCGGCCGAGGGGTCCCGTTCGCCGCTGGCCCTACAAGCTCTGTTTTAGACCGTGTTCCTGTCGTCTAATAAACCTCTGTGTTACTGGCTGGCTGACAGTCACCTCTGACTGCGAAATGGGGGGTGCAGAACCCTCTGGCTGCCCCAGGACCCCGCCGGGGCGACTCACTGTGGGAAGCACATGGAGGGGCATATGCTGAATGCTCCCAGGAGAGACCCAGGAGGTGAAGCCGTGTGAGCTTCTTGCCCTGAAGACAGACTGCTCCAAGGGAGAGGAGGCTCCCCAAAGTCCTGACTGGCTTTGTGGGGAGCAGTTCCAGAGCATCACCCGGGGACTCCGTGACAACTGGTGTCAGCGGTGGGATGTACTGCACCCTGTGAATGGCGCTTCTTGCAGTAAGTGACTGGGGAGCAGTAAAACAGGGGGGATACCAAGGACCAGGCATGCTGAAGGCTCAGAGAGGGACGGTTTCAGGGGGCGATTAACCCCTAGGAGTGTGTGACCAGCGAGAAGGACTGTTGGAGTAACGGGGTCCCCCTGAGGACTGAAGCGAGCAGTCTCAGGGCGGAGGAGCTTGCCGCTCGACCCTGGGAGAGAGAAGGACTTTTGCTGTAACAGGGTTCCCCTGGGGATTGCAGCGAGCGGTCCCAGGGGCGGAGGAGTCTGAAGCTCGACCCTGGCAAAGAGGTGGTGACCACGAGAAGGGCTGGCACACTAGGGGTTCTTCCTGGAAACCGTGGGGAGCTGAGAGCACACGGGCCTCTGAGTCCAAAGCAACCTGGGAACAGCGGAGTGATGGCCTATCACCATCTCCTCAAGAAGGACATTGTGATCCTGTGCAAAAAGAGAGGGTTACGCATTGGGAAGTTCACCAAGGCCCAGTTAATCGTGCAGCTGGAGGACGAGGACCGCTCTAAGGAGCAGATTCCTGACCCAGACGGGGCTACAAGAGGATCTGGGAGCAGCTGGAGCAGTAGCCAGGCATCCCCAAGAGTCTGGTCCCCAACCAGACGGGGGTCTTCACGATCGGGTTCCCCATCAGGGGATCGGAGATGGATGGGATTGGAGCTGAGTCCGAGAGAGCGAGAGGACCATGAGAGACAGCGAGAGCCTGAGGAAAAGCTGCAGGAGAAGCAGCAGCAGCATGGACTGGCGATGGCGGAGCGGAGAGGCATAGGGGGCTCCCCAGGGGTGAATGGGGATAGACCCCGGGCTGCCAGTTCCGCAGGGAACCTCGACACTAAATTGCTGCCCCTGGTTAAGGAGGGGGGGGATGTGGATGCCCACCACACGGCCTTCACGCAGGCTGGCGATTTGAACCAGGGGGACCCTGCAGAAAAGCCCCGGTATCTAGCTCCCTTCCTGGGTCCCAAGGCCATAGACGCCGTCAGCCAGATGGGTGGGGTGGTGGACAGGCTCCCACTCCTGGCCCCGGCCTATGTGTCCGCATGGAGTCTCTTGGGCTCAGGCCCCTCGGACCCCCAGTGGGAGCGGAAGGTGGGGGTCAATGGGGGGACCTGCCTGGGATGGCGAGATTGTCGGGCCCCGGGTGGTGCAGCCGCAGATGCTGAGGGGCTGTGAGACCTGGGTGAAGGTCCCCGGGATGAAGCCCCTCACCCTCCCATGGCCCGGATCCCTGTGCAGACCCAGGAGGGGTCGGGCTGGCTGGTCGTTGGGGTTCTCCAGGATATTGGCTGTGAGGTCCTGTTGGGGGGTGACTGTGTCTCTTTGGGACAAGCCCCTGTAACGGCCGAGGATTTAAATTTGAATCCAGGGAACCAATTGGCTAAGATGGAAATGGTCAGTGAAAATGCAAATGACCTGGCTGGCGGGGGGAGGAGCTGCAGGGCTCAGGATACCTGCCCACCTGTAACTAGATCCCTGGGGCTGAGTGGGACAGAGAGATGCTCCCCGCCCCCCTGCACACCGGAGAGGGGGCTCATGCTGGCTCTGATGCTGTGACCAAAGCAGAGAGCTCCCTGCCTGCCCCCACTGGGACAGCCAGGGCAGCGCTGGGCACGGTGGGAGCCGAGACCCCAGCTGAGTGGGGGGGGACACAGGCAGGGCAGGTCAGGTCGGCTGCCAACCAGGTTTGCCTGGTCCAGGCGTGCTGCTGGGAAGTGATTACACAGCAGGGAGGGAGCTACCAGGGACAGGGCTCAGGGGGGCTGTGACCCCAGGCCCAGCCAGCGAGAGGGAACAGGTCCCACTCCCTTCCCCAGCAGCTGAATTCCAGACCGAGCTGCAGAGGGATCCCTCCTTGGAGAAGCTGAGGGAACTGCTGGCCACAGCGCTGCAAACCCCCTTGGGGAAGGCTGCAGAGACAGAGTGTCGGTGATTTATGCACACTGGCCTTTCCCCACCACCTAGAGACTTAAGAAATGCATAGGGGAAACTGAGGCACCCACATAGTATTCAGAGGAAACATTAAGAACAGTTCCACTTCGTCACAGAGTTAAGGTGACGGTGCTGGGGGTTTCTGACGGGCAGAGTTAAGGTGAAGGTGCTGGGAGTTTCTGGCGGGCAGAGTCAAGGTGAAGGTGCTGGGGGTTTCTGACGGGCAGAGTTAAGGTGAAGGGATCTCTGTGGGGGGGCCGTAACCCTGAGCTTTCCCCAGGAGCTGCATCTCGACTCCAATCACATCGAGGAGGTGCGGGAGGGGCTGCTCAACAAGACCCTGAACCTCAGCGTCCTGGTTCTGAGCAACAACAGGCTCCAGGAGGATGGGATTGCGCCACGGGCCTGGATTGACCTCCCGTGAGTCACCCTGCGGGCAGAGAACCCCGGCGTCCAGCTCCCAGCCCCCACTCCCCTCCCAGAGCCGGGGAGAGAACCCTGGCATCCGGGCTCCCAGCCCCCCCCCTCCCAGAGCCGGGGAGAGAACCGAGGTGTCCTAACCCCAGCCCCCGCTCCCCTCCCAGAGCCGGGGAGAGAACCCAGGCGTCCTAACCCCAGCCCTCCGCCCCTGCAGGAAGCTGGAGTCCCTGGACCTCTCCTACAACCGGCTGGTGCACGTGCCGTCCTTCCTGCCGCGCCGGCTGCGCCAACTGACATTGCACCACAACCGCATCGAACGCATCCCGGGCTACGTCTTCGCCCACCTGCGCCCGGGGCTGGAGTTCCTGCACCTCTCTCACAACTGCCTGCGGGCTGAGGGCGTCCACGCCACCTCCTTCGCCGGGCTGGGCCGCTCGCTGGCCGAGCTGCTGCTGGACCACAACCGGCTGCAGGCCGTGCCCCGGGGGCTGCTGGGCCTCAAGGGGCTGCAGGTCCTGCGGCTGAGCCACAACCTCATCAGGTAGGGCAGGGAACCCCGGCATCCAGCCTCCGCCACCCCCGCTCTAACCCACCAGCCCCACTGCGCACCCAGAGCC